GGTCGAGGCTGCGGTGGCCAGGAGTGGCCACTGTACTCCAGTCTGGGCGACAGAGTGAGACTCCAACTCAAAAAAAAAAAATTCTCCAAACTGATGCATATACATTTTGGGATTAAAAGAGCTCATTCAATAACCAGCACAATGAAGGAAAACAAAAACAGACCTATGCTAAGTTGTAGCACTGTGAATTGTAAAAAACCTGGGACAAAGAGATGTTACATTTTTCAGGAAAGAAAAAAACAAAATTCTTTCCATTGACTAGACTTCACAATAGTTAGAATGTACTAGTTAACACCTTCAACATGCTTAGGGAAGCTGGAAAGCTTGCTTCCAACCTAAGATTCTACATACAGCCAAATCATCAATTAAGGGCGACAATAGGAGAAAGACGTAACAGATATACCGAGTGTCAAAGATGTTCCTCTTTGTGAATCCTTTCTTGAGAAGATATCGAAGGATATGCTCCAACAAAATGAGGGGGTAAAACTAAAAGAGGGAAGGACCTGGGACCCAGGAACAGGAGACCCAGCATGGAGAGAGGGGACAGTAAATCTGAACAGGTAATGGCTGAACAGGAGGCCTCATGGGCAATCAGCTTAAAGTGGAGTAGGCTAGATGGCTCTGGAATTTCTTCAAAAAGATGGAATTAATAGAAAATCGAATGTGCTTGAACACACTGTGAGCAGGGCTGAGAAGGAAGAAAAAGACCACACTGGGACAAGGTTTTTATTTATTTATTTGTTTTTTCCTTTTAATTTTTACTTAAAATTGTGGGGTACAATAAAGAACAAAATCATGAACTTCGCAGCAACTGGGACAAGGTTTTTAAAACTGGGGAAAACTTGGAATTGACTTAGTAATAATTGCACAGAAAATGAAGCAAACCAAAAAATAATCACAATTTTAAACTCTGCGATAAAAACAGATATTACAAGAAAGAGAGAAGCAATCATAGCGTAGCTTCAGAGTTCTGCTGTGAGTAATGTTTATGCAGCTATGATATTAAACTGACAATTGATCAGCTCAAAATACAACTGTATTGGGAGACAGGAAGCTGGTGTGTGTGGGGGTGGGGGAGAAGGGTGCCAGGCAGGGATGAGAAAAAGGCTAAAGCTAAAAATCAAGACAGAGCAATATGGCCACATTACCTAGAGCCATGGAAGTTAACAGCTGACAAAGCATCAGCTGTGAGCCTTGTAAGTGATTCTTCCGGATCGTGGAGATGACCTGTGTTTTTCCTAACACAACTTACAGTAGTATTTGACTCTTGAAAGCCTTTGCGGTACAACTTTAATAGGAATAAAAATGAATTGAGAAAATCAGCTGTTGTTTAGAAAGAGGCAAGCAATCGGCCCAGCTAGAGGGTCTGGGCAGGGCTTGCCTGCAGGCGAGGATTAGGCATATCGAGGGCATCCTGGGCGAGGAATGACTTGGGCCTGAGCGGAGCTCTGGCGGTGGCCTTGGAGGTAGCCCCCAGAGCCCCTGTTTGGAGGAATTGAAGAAATCAGTGACTGTTCTCTCCTGGGGGCTTCCTGTGCTTCAGATCATGGAGCGCGCCCTGTTCCACATGGACAACTGCTACAGCATTCCCAACCTCCGGGGCACCGGACGACAGTGCAAGACCCACCTGCCCTCCAACACGGCCTTCCGGGGCTTTGGGGGGCCCCAGGGGATGCTCATCGCCGAGCACTGGATGAGCGAAGTTGCAGTGACCTGCGGGCTGCCGGCGGAAGAGGTGAGCCAGGATCTGGTGGCACAAGTCAGCTGGGCCCGTCCGTCGACTGGGCAGAAGGGTGGCTTTGTCTCCTGGGCATCTCCCATGGGCTCAGAAGATGGGCGGGGGCTGCTGAGGGGGCTGGAAGCTTGGTTTTAGGCTGTACCCCCGCCAAGGCTCTTGCCACCCACCAGGCTTCAGTGTCTCTCTCCTTGGGAAGGTGCGGAGGAAAAACCTGTACAAAGAAGGAGACCTGACGCACTTCAACCAGAAGCTGGAGGGGTTCACTGTGCCACGGTGCTGGGACGAGTGTCTGGCCAGCTCTCAGTATCACACCCGGAGGAGTGAAGTTGACAAGTTCAACAAGTGAGCGACGGGGCGGCTGAGGTTCTGGTGCGCCCGGGGGTTTCAGACTCTACTCTCTTTCTGATGACCTGAAATAAGAAGCTAGTAACAGAACAGATAGCTGGTAGGGGACTGAGGTTGCCAACTCACTTAGAAGGCATCTCCGTAAGATCATGGCCTCCTGGCCTATGCTTGGTGTCACAGCCCAGCAGCTGTGGCTCATCTTGACACATCTGTATGCCTTCTGGGCACACCGGCTAGTAGGGAACACTGACCTGGGACAAAGAATGCTGCAGGCCAGGCTCGGTGGCTCAGCCTGTCATCCAAGCACTTTGGGAGGCCGAGGTGAGTGGATTGCCTGATCCTGTGGGTTCGAGACCAGCCCGGGCAACTTGGCAAGACCTCATCTCTACAATAAATAATAATTAAAAAATTAGCTGGGTGTGGTAGCGCACGCCTGTAGTTCTGGCTACTTGGAAGGTTGAGGCGGAAGGATTGCAGAGCCCAGCGGGTTGACGTTGAGCATGCCACTGCACTCCAGCTTGGGCGACAGAGTGAGACTCCAACTCAAAAAACAAAAACAAAAAAAAGAACGCTGCAGTATCACGCCTGTCTCCGGCTCGAGCCTATCCATGCGAACTTGGCAGTCACCCCATCTCCCTGGGCCTCAGTGTCACCGTCTGCAAAGTGGGCATGATTATGCTGGCTCCGTCTTCCTCACAGAGCTGCTCAGATAACCAATCATAAAGCACGGAGAAGCCATCGCTGCTTCCAGTGGGTCACCATCTCTCCCTGAGACCATGACAGTCGAGACCCCAGCAGGGGACTCTGACCCCGTATGATGATTCCATCCAGGAAGGAAGGGTGATGGTGCTTCAGGGTCGAGGCTTCCAGGGTGGGTTCTGCTGCAGCTGCATGGGAACACCCAGGACTCCAATCTCTACCTTCCTCACTTGTGTCTACACTACTGGGGCACAGCGCGGCTATGACAGGTGACCACGTTGGCAGCCCCATGGATGTCCTGTTTTGATTTGATCCAAAGTCGTTGACTAAACACATGTCCAGTCTGACATAAATATGGAATTGAAGGTGTCGTAAGACTGTTCCTTTTTCTCCAGGGAGAATTGTTGGAAAAAGAGAGGACTGTGCATCATTCCTACCAAGTTTGGAATAAGCTTCACGGTCCCTTTTCTGAATCAGGTAATTGCTTTATGTAAGTGTCTACCTCCACTGACCAGGGCCCCATTTCCCCCACTGATTTGGGCCCTGTTTCCCTGGTCACAGCACTGTAAGGGATCCCATAGTCACTGGCGACAGAGCTGATGGCCAGGCTCTTTGCCGTTTAAATGAGAGTTGAACTCGCATATTCCTATCTGTCCCAAGTGTCATGGGCAGTGAGGCCCAGAGGTCTGGGTCAGCCTCTAGTTCTTACCTTTCCCGGCTGCAGGACTACTGGCAGATGCTCTATCTTTCCCATCCTGTTTCTCCATCTATAAGGTGAGGACAAATCTATGTGAGGGCTGGTGACACAGAGACAGACAGGGGAGCATTCTATAAACTCCCAAACTCCCATGGTTACATCATGTGGTTTATGCCACTGTGATCTTTGTCTAGGGTTTGTATCCCAAATGCTGTTGGTTTTTGTTTCCTGGGCTCCAAGCCTTGGGCCCCAAATCCTGGGCCCAGTGAGGATTTAGGACGTTGACATCTGGCAGCCATGTCTGTCCTCAGGCGGGAGCCCTGATCCATGTGTACACAGATGGCTCCGTGTTGCTGACCCACGGGGGCACCGAGATGGGCCAAGGCCTCCACACCAAGATGATCCAGGTGAGCACCGGGGTGTATTCTGTGAGGCGGGTGCCCTGAGAAACAAGCGGAAGGACACGTGAGCACAGAGCAGGCCTGGTGTCCTGCCCAGCTCTTCCACTCATGCACGCATCACCTTGGGCAGGTCTTCTCCCTTGCCAGTCCTTGGTTTCCTCATCTGGGCCGAGAGGATTGGCCAGGTGACCTGAGGCCACTTTCATGACCTGCAACCCCTGTGTAGGGTGGACAGCCATGTGTCTAAAGGAATGGATTTCCCACACCCAGGAGATGCCTCCCAGCAGAGCTTGGCCAATGGAGCTGGACCAGGCAGCACACCTGCCGGGCCAAATTGGATTAAGCGAAAAGCCAGGCTTAGCTTGAAAAGGCCCTGCTTGTCACCATTAGGCTTGTGAACCTTTTATCCAGCCAATCCATTCCATCAAGTGCTGCTTCAAATTCAGCCAGATGTGAGACTGTCCAGAATCAACAGGTTTAGAACCGATGAAATCATGTTCTTGCTGGTGACAGTGAACGGGAATGCCATCCTGGGATGAGGCAGTCGCGCCCACGGCGACCCCTTCCCTGGAGGGTGACGTCTTCTCTTGTGCAGGTGGCCAGCAGAGCTCTAAAAATCCCCATGTCCAAGATCTACATCAGCGAGACCAGCACCAACACGGTGCCCAACACCTCTCCGACGGCCGCGTCGGCCAGCACGGACATCAACGGGCAGGCTGTCTATGTAAGGGCCCGTGGGCTCCCAGAGCAGAGGGATGACTGGGTGGTGGGCCTGGTGAGGGTCCTGGGTGGGAATCAGAAGGATTCCTTGGAGGGCCTTGGGCCTTGGCCAGCCCTCTGACTTTCTTGTCCAGGAGGATGCTGTTTCTGCAGACACGTGACTGAACATGTTCACTTCCAGCAGGGCCGGAAGACTGCGTGCAGCAAGGGAGGGGTGTGGAGGGAGAGCAGGGGTAGCTGGGAAGACACACTCCCTGGTGTTGGCCCCGGTCACTGGGCCATGGACTGAAACTGAAATTGATGACAGGGTCAGCCAGGTTGTACCTTGTTGCTTCTCACTTACGTAGGGGATGTGAAGGAAGAGGGCTCCTGCTTGGGGTCCCTTCCGCATCTTTCCCTCTGCCAGCCCGAGGACTGGGCCAGGAAGTGCTCCCCAGGCAAGGGCCAGGAGTGGCCCCATGGGTGGCTCTGTGGCTCCTACCCCGGGCCTTGGTCACTCTGGAGAGTGTGGCAAGATGGTGTGAGTGGCACCCTGGCGCAGCACGGCTTGGAGATGGCCCTGCCAAGGCCTCGGGTTGTGGCCAGGCTGTGGTAGGCCGAGGATGGACTTGTCTGATGTGCATAGGGGATTTCTTCTTTAGGCCGCTTGCCAGACCATCCTGAAAAGGCTGGAACCCTTCAAGAAGAAGAACCCCACTGGCTCCTGGGAGGACTGGGTGAGTCCCAGCTGGTCCAATTCGCTTTTGTAAGGGAGAGGGAGGGTCTCTGTCCCTGTCCTAGAAAAAAACAGGAGTTAGCCCTGGGGGCCAACAGGCAGGAGGGAGCTGAGATAGCCTCTGAGTTCACAAGGACACACAGCACACCAGCGCTCAGCCTGCCAGGGCCCTTCTCTGTATTTCCATTGCTTGAGGAGAGGGTTTGAGCTATGATCTTGACAGCCTTTTAGGAACTGGGCACTGTTTGCCCTGCATGGAGAGGCTATGGCCTGCCTCTCTGGTTACCTAGACTCACTGGATCCTGCTCTCACACCCCATTGCCTGGCAGCCTCAACAGTCCCTGTTTTCTTTCCTTTTATTCTTCTTCCCTTCCTTACCTTCTGTCTCTTGTCCCCCCCCCCACCTTTCTTTCTTCTTTCTTTATTGCTCAGGTCTCACTCTATTGCCCAGGCTGGAGTGCAGTGGTGCAATCAAAGCTTACCATAGCCTCAAACTCCTGGGCTCAGGTAACCCTCTTGCCTCAGCCTTCCAAGTAGCTGGGACAACAGGTGTGCACCACCATGCCCGGGTTTTTTTTTTTTTTACTTTTTGCAGCGATGAGGTCTTGATATGTTGCCCAGGCTGGTCTCAAACTCCTGGGCTCAAGCAATCCTCCTGTTTCGGCCTCCCAAAGATCTGGGATTAGAGGTGGGAGCCACCATGCCTGACTGAGCCTAGGCCACTGAGATCCCTCTGTGAGAGGGCATGGACAAGATGTCACCCAAGAGCTTCCATCATGCCTGTGACTCCAGAAGGGACAGAACAAGCACTCAGATAAGCATGAACACAGCTTTTTGACTTCTGCATCAAAGGCCAACACTGTGGAGATCCTCCTGGAAGGTGCTGGGAGTCTTGTGGGTGGGAGACAGCCACTCCTCCACAAGCAGAGACACCCTTAGTGGCCTTGTGTCACACCCTGGGAGCACCGGGCATCACTGTCACACATCAAGGGTGGCCGCATGTGAACCAAATCCCCCTTGGTAGATCCAGGGAGACACGCTGTTTCCCCCAGGCCCACTCATCAACCTGTGCTCACGTGACAGCACCTCTTCATGGATGCCACACGCTACCAAGCTTGGGCTTGGTAGTCTGAACTGTAGCAGTGGGCCCGGCAGGTGGTGTACATGTTTCAACCACAGCACTGGCAGCGATTTTCTAGCATCTGATGTGCACATCTGAGCTCTGTTCCCAGTCCCCAGCCCCCAGCTGTGTGGACCAGAGTTCCTTGTGAGCAGGTAGACCCAGTAAGTGGGCCGCAGTCACCAACACATGCATGCACACACAAGTATGCATGCATACACACATCATACTAAATGATTTGTAAAGCTCTTAGTCCCAATCCTTTTTCTCCAAACCTCACTTTTCTCAGCTGTTGAATGAGGGCTTTAGCAGGACAGCGCTCACAGGACTGCAGTGAGCACCAAATCAGATTCAGTGTGGAATGCTGGGGTCATGAGGTGCAGAGGAGACTGCTTGGTGGCTGACAACGATGATGACACAGATTACGTCAAGCAGAACTCAAAGCCCAGCGTTGTACTAGGTCTGGGGACACCCAGAAATGTACTGAAGAGGCTGGAATGAAGGGATGGCTTTATTAACTGGAAAGTGTCAGCAAAAGCACACTGTTAAGTATCAAATGAGCACTACAGAGAGTAGGGAGAGCCAGGCGCAGTGGCTCATGCCTGTAATCGCAGTACTTTGGGAGGTGGAGGTGAGAGGATTGCCTGAGTCCAGGGGTTCGAGACCAACCTGTGCAACTTGGGAGACCTTGTCTCTACAATAAATCAGAAAAATTAGCTGGGTATGGTGGTGCATGCCTGTGGCTCCAGCTACCTGGAGGGCTGAGGCGGAAGATCACCTGAGCCCAGCAGGTTGAGGCTGTGTTGGCTATGAGCATGCCATTGCACTCCAGCCTGGGCAACAGAATGAGACTCCAACTCAAAAAAAGAAAAAAAAGCCAGGTTCGGTGGCTCAGCCTGTAATCTCGCGCCTTTGGGAGGCTATGGTGAGTGGATTGCCTGAACCCGCGGGTTCAAGACCCGCCTGGGCAGGTGAGACCTCATCTCTACAATAAATCAAAAAATGGGCCGGGCGTGGTAGCGCACACCTGTAATTCCGGCTACTCGGAAGGCTGAGGCGAAAGGATCGCCAGAGCCCAGCCGGTTGAGGCTGCGGTGGCCGGGAGCAGCCACTGCACTCCAGTCTGGGCGACAGAGTGAGACTCCAACTCAAAAAAAAAAAAAAAAAAAAAAGAAAAGAAAAAGGGGTGGAGACAGACAGCCTGCTAATTGCAAGTGAAGATGAGAGTGACCCTAGGAAGTACCCCATGACCCTTGGTCTCCAAGTGACCCCTATAATGATGGGAAACACAGCACCCAGCAAGTGAAGGATTCTTTATCAGAAAACTCATTTCATAGGCTGGGCATGGTGGCTCAAACCTGTAATGCCAGCACTTTGGGAGGCTGAGGTAGGAGAATTGCTTGAGCCAAGGAGTTTAAGACCAGCCTGGGCAACTTGGTGAGACCTTGTCTCTACAATAAGTAAAAAATCAGCTGGGTGTGGTGGCTTGCACCTGTGGTTCCAGCTACTTGGAAGGCTGAGGTGGAAGGATCACCTGAGCCCAGCACGCTGAGGCTGTAGAAGCCGTGATTGTGCCACTACCCTCCAGCCTGGGTGACCGAGTGAGACTCCTACTCAAAAAAAAAAAGAATTGCCTGAGCCCGCGGTTTCGAGACTTGCCTGGGCAACTTGACGAGACCTCATCTCTACAATAAGTCAAAAAATGAGCCGAGCATGGTAGCGTGTGCCTGTAGTTCCAGCTACTTGGAAGGCTGAGGCGGAAGGATCGCCGGAGCCCAGCAGGTCGAGGCTGCGGTGGCCGGGAGCGACCACTGCACTCCAGTCTGGGCGACAGTGAGACTCCAACTCAAAAAAAAAAAAGATAGAGGGTAGGGAGGACTCACCAAGGAGAGAGGGTGGGAGAGGCAATTGTGAGGAAGTTGTTGAGGGAAGAGCAGACTCAAGACAGTTCCAGGGGAGGAACCATATAGATGGGGGTGTGGAGGTGTGGGAACACCGAAGGGTTGGGAGAGTTAACTCTTGAGTGTGACAGGGCAGCTGTGCTGTGCTGCCGAGGGTTGGAGAGGAGACCGTGGTCTGCTACACCAGACATTTACTCTATACATGATGGGGAGCCATTGACTACTCTAGAGTAGGGGTGTGACGTGCACAGGGAGGTATGTTAAAATGACCATTCTGGCTGGGCTGGGGAGACAGCTTGGGCCAGGAAGGTCACCTAAGAGGCCGCTCTAAGCTCTGGGCTTTGGACGGGGAGGGTGTGAGGCAAGGTCTGGGAGTAGGGGTCACTCGTCATGTGAGCTGATGGGCCTCCAGGTGAAGAGGCTGTGTTCCCAAGAGTGGAGTGGGAGGCCAGTGTGTCTGGAGACCACACCTGCCCGTTCCTGACACCGTCTCCTCTCCCCAGGTAATAGCCGCCTACAAGGATGCCGTGAGTCTGTCTGTAACTGGCTTTTATAAGTAAGTATGGGCCCACTCCTGCCCAGCTTGGAGTGCTGTCACCTCACCCCAGTCCCTCCAGCACGGATCCTGCCAGCCTGGGGATGGGGGAGAGCAGCTGTGCCAGCCTGTGTCTCTCTGAGGGACACCCACTAAGTCCAGGCCAAAGAGGCATGCAGGGTGGCCCAGCGTGCCAAGGCTGCAGAGGCACAGGCTACGTGGTGGAGGTCCCTCATGTGGCGTCTGGTCTGAGTGTCCCAGTTCACGTGGGGAAGTTGCTGGTTTCCCTGAACCTGTTTTCCCACCTGTGAAACGCTGGGCCTGTCGCCCGCCCCTCCTCTGTCACATCCTCCCACCAGAATCGGGGCACCACGGGCTGTGGGCTTGTGTCACGGTGGGCCACATGCACTTCCTTGTATGAGGGATCTACTTATGGGGGGCATTTAGAGCACGTGGTCTCCTTACAATATGCAGAGGAGCCTTTTGAATACAGGGAGGTTCAGAGGAGAGCGTATGTCTTCTGCAACTTGACACTTCAGGGCAAGCACGAACAGCTGGAGACGCTCCCATCTGTCATTAAGGCTGGAGAGACATGATCACACTCACTGTCAGTCACGATGTTTCCTGCCCGCTCTGGAAACTTAACTGGGATCTTTTCCTTCACAGATCAGTAGGTTTGCAACATGGCTTGAAATTTGCTTTCAAATATCTCATGGGACATTTTTCTTGTAGGAACATATCTATGTAACATATAATACTATTCTGTGTGATAGCATGTATAGAACACTTTATACAGGACATACAGAATATATATATTAAGCAAAGAAATGTTTTCCAACGCTGTTTACACAAACACAAATGAATGCAGATTTTCTCACAAGTTTCTGTTACATTTTTGGAGTTCATAAAACTAAGGTTTTATAAAGGTGAACCCAAATGAATGTGGTAAAGTCAGAAGTCAAGGAAGGTAGTGATTTCACCTGGGGGAATGTCTGCTCCCTTGGCCCTGTATTTTTTTTTTTGATCCACATTCTGGTCATGTCAGTTTGTGTTATTTCTTTGTCATGTCTAGAGCAGCTTAGATGCAGTGTGCTATAAACTCTGGGTGTGCAAATTCACACACACAAACACATATACAAATGCAATATTGGACTCATGCAAAATTGGAATTGTATAAGGCACTTAAGAACTGAAAAAGAAAAAAAATCAGGAGAATTTGTTTCCATGCAGCAAATTTTCCTCAAATCATCTGTTGAACTTTTGAAGGGACAAGCAGGGGTGGGGAGAGTGGCTGCTTACAGGTGCAGCAGGTTTGCGTGAGAGGCTGACCTCACTGACTTTCAACTTGAGAAAGAGCCCTATGAGTAGGTAAACTCGGGTGAACAGCACAAGCGCTCCCCCAAGCGGGACCCTCAGCTCTGGAGAGCTTGGGTTCTAGCTCATCGATCCTTTGTGGTGTGACTCTCATGACCTTTGTGAGCTCAGACAGACCCATCACCCCATCTCTACTGTGTAGAGGCTGTCCAGAATGACCCCAGAGGACTATGGGTTCTAGCTCCTCGATCCTTGAGGTGTGATTCTCATGACCTCTGTGAGCTCAGACAGACCCATCGCCCCATCTCCGTGTAGAGGCTGTCCAGAATGATCCCAAAAGGCTATGGATGAGATAGAGGGGACAAGAGACAGAATGCTCCAGAACACCTGGGCTTCCTGAGCAGGTTCAGACTGTTCAAAACATACGGACTTTTTCTGGAGAACAGCTTAAGGAAAAACTAGAACTTCAGGTTTAAAGATTTTGTGGGGTGAGCTGTCCGCGTGTGCGTGGAGCGGGGACGTGTCCGTCTCCATACGAGGGCTGCCTCTCCTCTGCCTTTCCAGAACACCCAACCTTGGCTACAGCTTTGAGACTAACTCGGGGAACGCCTTCCACTACTTCACCTATGGCGTGGCTTGCTCGGAAGTAGAAATTGACTGCTTGACCGGGGATCACAAGGTGAGAGGTTTGCAGAGCTGTAGTGCCAGGAAGACAGAGAAACAACTCAACACCAAGAGCTGAGAGAGGCAGACCTCCTGGATGCGAAAAGACTGCCTTACCTGGCCGATAGGCAAACTTTTTTTTTTTTTTTTGGGTTGGAGT